TATGCACGCCTCAAAGCCCAGCTCAAATGTGCCCTGGAACCCAGTACAGCGTGCTCAGGGAACCCTTTCTGACTGAACAATCCCTCTTCTTCCCGAGTCCAGAGGGCGAGATAAATGTGTAGCTCTGAGGCAGAGGGTCCAGGGCAGAGGAAGGGGGCTGGACCAAAGAGAAATCAGAGTGTGGACCGAGAGCAAGTCTGTTTTCCTCCTCTCGGGGCTGGAACCTCATCTACAGACATGCAGAAAGTCTGAGGGGGAGAGAGAACAGGCCAGAGAACGGTGCCGCGACACCACAACCCGGCTGCGACCAATTCTCCTTCAGCCTTCGTGTCTGTGCAGCACCACACTGCCCCTTCCCAGCGTCACCCACGGAACCCTCCCCAGACATGGAAGGGGCCTCGTCCAAGGTCATGCAGCCAGGAAGTGGCAGGGCCCAGATTAGAACTCAGGCAGCCCAAGTCCAGAGGCTGTGCTCTTAACAGCTCAGGGCTCTGGCCTTGGACAGAAAAAAACCCTCACCGAGGCCCGAAGGGTCTGGATGGGGACCTGCTGTTCTGGGACGTCAGAGGCTCCACGGAGAGCAGAGGGGCGAGAGGACCGCTCTGAACAAACCGCACTCTACCCCAGCTCTCCCCCTGCCTGGCCGAGTGACCTCAGCCTCGGGCAAGTGACCTGGCTCTGTGGCCAAGTGTCTGCATCTGTGAACTTGGCGAAGGTCAGGACGATATGAAAAAAAACCCATAGGGAAGAGTTGGAACAGTGCTTGGCTGCTGTCAACTGTTCTCACTGTATTTGTCTAAAATGGGTGGGAGTTTGGGTGTTTTACATATTACCCCCCCCCCCACGCATTACTTAATGCAGCGGATTACGACGTCCTTTCCCCTTTAGGAACAGGTCCCCGAGTCTGACACATGATGGGCAGAGGTGCTGGTCCAGCCTGGGGTCTGGCCCTGCCCTCACGCCACCGGCTGGACTCTGGCCCCAGCCCCCAAGCTCAATGGCCTCTGGCAGCACTCACCCTCAGTGACGGCAGGCTGGACAGCTCCCCGTGAAGTGTGGTCAGGTTGTTGTGACTCACAGACAAGTGCTCCTGGGCCAGGACGGGGAAGCAGAGGCTCAGCAGTGTGGGTAAGGTGTCTACAGAGTCCCCTACTGCCACCAGAACCTTGTGCCATCCAGGGGGCCCTCAGCCACACACGCTCAGCCCACCTCTTGCAGCCTCCCACCCTCCCTCCCTCCCACGGTGGCCTTTTCTTGCATACCTCCCAGGACAGGGTGCTCACTCCATCTCATGGCTGTCAGCATCTTCCTCTATGTCGACTGCCTTCTGTGCAGGCTTGCCCACCTGGCCCAGCCCAATCCACAGGGACCCTCCCTGACTGCCCAGAGCCCCTTACCAGCTTCTGCAGGGCTGCCAACTCCTCTGGGAGGTAGCAGAGGCCCGTGCGGTTCAGCTTCAGCCATCGCAGACTGGTCATGGCCTTGACATTCTCAGGGAAGTAGCCGCCCTGGGGGTAGGTGTCATGGTGAGACTGATTGGGATGACGGGTGCCCCTGCTCCACCACCCTCTGTGTCCCCCCGTTTGCATGGGAGCCTTGGGAGAGCAACAGAGCCACCTCTCACCAGCTGTGTGACCTTGGACAAGTCACTTTGCCACTCTGTGCCTCAACTTCCTCATCAATGTAACAGGGCTAATAAGAGCTCCTCATGATAAAAGTGTTAGGACCGACTAATTATCAGGATGGCTATTGGTCTAAGATCTCTTGTTGGATTCTGAGCCCTCAAAGGGCCAGGACGGAACTGGCTTGTTCCAGGAGACATCCCAGTGCTCAGTTGTGTGGTTAACTTGGCTCAAATGCTTGTGCCTGCCATTCCAGGCCCTACCTAGGCCACCAGAGATGGGGGGACTCCTAAGGCTCCAACAAGGCCCTGACTGTGCCCCAACCTGCCATCGGCATACAAACCATTGCCAAGGTCCAACCCCCTGTGCAAGGCCTTGTTCATGTCTTCGTTCCCCACATTCGAATGCCTGCCTCAGTACCCCTAGCCTTTATGGCAGGCAGTCTGAGGCATCACGTGCCTTCAGCGCCCTCGGCTGGTGTCCCCATTCCCCTAGAGCCACAGTCTCAGTTGGTGACTCAGACTCTCCCAGTCTGGAGAGGACAATGGAGACCTCAGGTGAGGATGGTAGGGATGGGGACGGAGGAAAGTGGTGTGGCCGCCTGCGCCCTGGGTCAAAGGTGTGTGCACACGTGGGTAAATGCAGGAAGGACCTGCCAGCCTCCTCAGCCCTGGTCTAACCCAACCTTAGTCAAAGCCTGGGCCCCCCCCAATGCTGAAGACCCAGGCTGACACGACACTGACCCCAGCCTCAGCTGCTTGCTCACTGACCCCTCCTGTGCTGGGCCAGCTCTTCCTTCCACTCCTCTGGTTACCAGCACTGCCCACCTCATTCTTGACCCTCTAGAACCCCCTCACCCACCAACTGGCTGGAAGGCTGGGCTCCAGTTCCTTGAGGCCCTAGTCTACCGGTCCAGCAGCTGCTCAGACAGCAGCCACCCCAAGGCCTTGCACATCAGCCTGACAGTCTCCACACCAACCAATCCATGCGTCTACATTACAGTCCCTTCACCGGATGACAAAACCCAGACTCTGAGAGGGGAAGTGACTTGCCCAAGACCACACAGGATGGGGTGGCGGTGGCAGGGACAGGGCAGTGATGAGTGTGCTCCAGACCCGCCCCCGACAGCCAGCCGACAGCCGACAGCCGGTAGCCGGCCATGAGTCAGGGCCTGGCTTGGGCGTATGACCTCAGAGGGGCGGGGAAGGAGGGCCGGGGAGGCGGGAGCGGAGGCTCGCGGCCCCCCAGGCCACTCTCCGGCCCTGGCGGGGCCCAGACGCCCGGTCTGAGACGCGGGGTGGGGGCCCCCAGACCACTCCCCGGCGTGACTCCGCCCCCAAGCGTCCGTCAGGCCCAGGCCGGCCTCGCTCTTCCCGTGCGGGCCCTAAGCTGAGGCGTCGGGGGTCCGTTCCCGGCAAGGTCCCGAGCCCCGGGGGGAGCCCCACCCCGGGCCGTTCTCAGTCCTGGGCGGCGCGGGGCCCGGAGGCGGGCGGGACAGGAAGCAGAGACCGGCGCGGGCCCGGGCGGAAGAGACGGCCTGGAGGGAGGCCCGGCCCCACGCCCGGCCAGCTCACCTTGAAGTCGTTGCCGCTGAGGTCCACGCCGCGCACGAACGGCAGCACCCCGGTGGCCTCCATGGCGCCGCTCTTGCTGCGGGGCCGTACCGGGCGCGGGGGGCAGCGGGGCGAGCCGCGGGCTGGGCCAACGCTGGCTCCGCCCTTTTAACCCGCCCCCGCCCGGGCCCGCGGGCAGGCG